TTTATTTATTTATATATTTATTTATATATATATATATTCCATGACACATTGTAATTTAATTTGGATTGATACATTTTGCTACTGTCCCACCATATCTTTGTGCCCCAGGTGCTATTGTTCATTATCCCCGGGACAACAGGACATCCTTAATTTCTCTGTGAGAGAGCTGCTACTGCTAAAAGCACAATGCTAACAAAGACATGCTTGGCTGCGCCCCTGCACACAAACTCAACTAGGTCAGTGAGACAGTCTCGACACCTCTCTGTCTACACACTCACTCATCCTCAGTGTGTATTGTTACCGTCTCCTCTGTTTTCTGTGTACTGCTGCCCTCAGGCCTTATGTCTCTGAAAGGGGAGCATCAGGCCCAAAACTCTGCAGACAGCAGCTGTGACACCCCAAAACACACAGACACAGGACTGAGGGCAGCACACATACTGTACAGTGAAAACACACAGTTTAAAGAAGTTCAGAGTAAAAGCAATCTTTTACTGAGTATAACCGAATAGTCAAAACACACACACAAACATCACACATTCAAAAGTGAGCCAATCAGACAGGCACGCTGCTAACAGTGGGAGGATTTCCTGCCTCTCTCCATGCACACTTCCTGTGCTAATAATCAGAGGAAGTATCCTGCCTGCAGCTTGATCCCGCTGCATTTATTCAACCCCGCACCAGAGCCATGCAGCTACCAACGGTTAATGCCACTGAGATAAACAAAGCCTCAATCTGGTGCTTTCACAGCAAAGCACAGCTCGTAGCCATTACCAGCTCTTACACTTCTTGTAATAAACATCTGCTCCTCAGGCAGGTTCATACTGGACAGTCTGAAATTCAAACCACAGAGTTAGAGCAGTCAGGCCTTAATGAACAATGTCCCTTCTGACATGCAGAAACACTGACACATTAAAAATCAGGAAAAGGTAAATAAAAACAACTGTTTTATCAACTTTCTGGTTGTTGTTGTTTTGCTAATTTTGTCACAGATAAGTCTTCTTTCCCTTTGTTGGCTAAAAAAATAACACATATCTGGAATTCACTGAAACAGAAGTCTGCTTTTAAAGGTGCTCTGACAAAGTGAAGGATATCTGCTTTCACAAACTAACTGTGATCTTATTTCAGTTGTATAGTGTTACTCAAAAGGTCACTCCACATTGATAATCAAGGAAGGAAAAGGGCGGCTTGTTAAGCTTGTTATGTTGTTACTCTGACTTTTGCTCAAAATAAAGGGCCGCACTCAGAAAAAGGTCAAGACAACAGCTACGAGACAGGCTTTATAACTACATGACTAATGCTGTGAGCACAGATGTTTTAGCAGGCAGCAGCAGCGCTACTTTGATTTAATTATCCAAACTGTACAACTGTGAAAAATAGTGTCAAACATGAACTGAGCTAGTGTTTTGGGCACATATTGACTTCTTTAAGAGAGTAGAGGAAGGGCTGATGGACACGACAGACAAAAAAAGCCTTGAGATATACAATGTATACACACCATGTTACTGCTGCTAATATATGACCTCAATGTTTTTAAAGAAAAACCAGAGTTGAAAACAAGGCAAACCCCACCATAACAGGACAAAGAAGAAAAGAAAAAACACGAAGTAATAACAGGAAAACAGTTTTTCACTCCCTTCCTCCTCGCTCTCCCTCCTCATGAACACTCTCTAACACACACACACACACACACACTCTCACCTGGACGTTGTCCTCTGTGACCTCTATCTCTGCCGTGTAGATGTAGTCGACCAGTTTTCTCAGCGTCTGTCCGTCCACCTCTCTGATCTCCACCTGATGGGCCTTGCTCTCGCTCATATCCCCTACAAACACACACAAACAGTTAAGCGCACACCAGCACACACACACACATAAAGATATGACGCCAAGCAAACGACAGCGTGTGTGTGTGTGTACCTGTGAACATGGCACAGAAGTAGGGGCTGCAAGACGCCAGGACCACCCTGTGAGCTGGCACTTCGACGCTGCCCGCCACCAGCTGGACGTCACACAGCATCTTTTTACTGAAGTATGAGGTGTAACAGAGAGAGAAAGGTCATCATTTATATCTTATTTATTCAAGTGTGATAACGGCTGTGTGTAAAATAAATATGCATGGAGGAGCCAGGAAAGGGGAACGTCTTTAAAGCCAAGAATGGACAGGACGGCTGCCAGCAAAGGTGCCACTGAAGGTGTTAATCTCCAAGGTTTTACTTTAAAGATCCTCAGGGATATATGGATTTGATGCAGTTGGTGTACCAAGTGTAAATATCACTGTCACACAAGAGTGGCATACTAATCATAACCTGTCTTCTTCGCAGATTTCTTTTTTACCATCACATGTCGTCTTCCAGCGGTTTAAGAGAAAACACTAACTGTAGCAAACAACGCTGCCAGCAACAAACCTCCTCAGCTCGTTCATCAGCTGGAAAGCCTTCCTCATGTGCGTCTGGTTGAAGGTGTGCATCCCTCCATTCACCGTGTCCTCCTCTGAATCCGTGGCACAGTTTGGACGTGGTGAGGCCGGTGTGGCCACCAGACTGGTAAGACATGAGAGGCAGTGTCTGGATCATTGGAGATAGACGGTGACCCAACAGTTAGACGGGTTACTTTCTGGTTCATCTCTAAGGTTATGAAAAGAGGATGGGACAGGGACACTATGCTGGATAACTGTGGTAGTTCTTTAAATGTACCTGCCACCGTTGTCAAAGTTGTGCTGTACCACAGAAAATGTAGTTTAGTAAATATGCAGTGTGTCTCTGTATGTCCAGTTCAAACACACGAGGGTTTGTCTCTGGTGCCATTTTTGAATGCTTGCATGACGGCACTGACCCATCCTCGTTAACTAATCCTCGATTCTTTACGGTAATCTGCTTTGGTTGTCATGGAACCCAGATGCTGCTGCACACTATGGACTAGAGTCAGGATTTTGTATAGTGTAAAATATCTAGTGTGGCTTCTTCTCAAGTAAACTGTTCGATATGCAAATATTCATATTTGGCAAGGGGAAACCAGTGAATCTGGGGCATTTTATTATAGCAAATTAGTTTTCTGTCTATGAATTGTTTCACCTCTACTTACTGAATGTCTGACATCTGCACATAAAGCATCAACTACTCAAGCACTTTCTCAAAGAGCTAATAAATAAAAAGAGGTGTGGTGAGAGTACATGAAAGTTTGTCATGATGCACATATATTACATCATATACAGTTCTGTGTATTGATATATTGCCCAAACATATGTTCACTGTATATTACATATTTATCACTTTAATACCTCTAGTTGTCGCCAGTCTGTGAAATGTTGCACACCAATGAGCAGAACTGATTTAAGGCAATATTTGATTTCACAGGATAAACCAAAAATATACATATTCACATTTTATCTATTAAGAGTGTTTCAACCGAATTTTATATCACAATATATATTGTTATTGGAGATGCACTTAGCCAATATACTGCATCATCATTGGTATCTGCACTGATACTGACCTGATAAAGCAAACCGGGCTATCGGCCATGACGTTAGTCAGCAGTAGACTATTGTCAGCCATAGATTAATGCACAGTCGGTACAATGGTGAGTTTTTACAGCTACAGAATGGTGTAAGTGAGACTGAGTCAAAATAAACTCCAGTCGTCGTGTTCATGGTGATGAGGAACCATCACTCACTGGTGTGTTTCTGCATTATGATACATGATATATAATTATGATGACAGAGAAAATGTTTACTGGCTAGGATACATTTATTAGTGGAATTTATTCAGGATAATGCAGAATATTAGCAGCATTATAAGACAGGTACACAAAGAAAAGAAGACAAACATAAATATGTCCTGTTACCTAATGTTTAGTAAACCAGCCTGCCCACACAGGAGACACTGAGAGAATACCTCAGACAACATGTGAATTATACATTTAAATGTACCTTTTATCCAGTGGTGACCTGCACTTACCTGAGAGCAGGTGGCAGGACATAAATGGGACCTCAGCCATTAGTGATGTAACAGGACATTTGCTTGTTTGTGCACTGTTTACCAGTGTTTACCAGTGTTTACCAGTGTTTAATGTTTGAGTGTACCCGCCGAGCATGTACAGTACTGCAGTTATCTGGACTGTCACAATGACCCGTGTCTTGTCCGCACACTACTCAACAAACACTTTGAAGAAATAATGATGCAGCACTTACAAAGAGGCACCGGATAACTATTATTTCACCACACAACATTTTAAAGAACCAGTGTTCGTCCATGACTCTCGCCGTCTACACAAAGCTCGTCTCTTTTTGTCCACATATCAAAAAGAGCTCCACAGAAAACGAGATTTGTTTTGAGTTTGCTGAGCGTCAAGTTAGCAGGCTGGCTAGCTCTTAGCATGGCTAATGATTGAACTTCACCGCTAACATGAGCTCCTGACAGCTCCTGTTACCTGTTTTAAATCACTGCGGGGTGGGAAACACCTCTGGGAGCCAGTCTACACTCGCCACTGTCTGTACGCAACCACTGGACCACAGTTCCCAGCTGTCTACATGTTTAACTTGGGAGTTTGGTTAGCAACTTCACTGCATCAGCTGGCAGCCGACGATGCTAACGTATCGGAGCTAACTGATCAACAAGGCTCGCTTGAGTTCGTGTGCTGGCAGAAAGCTCCGGCTCTGGCTGTGTTTGGGTTTATGGCCGCTGGATCATGTGGGCTAAAATGTTATCCAACAGATGCAGAAGCAGCGTGAATCACAGCTTTACTCAATAATCCCCGGCGCTCAGAGCAACTCACCCCAGCGACACACCGTCCATCCTCCCGGAGTCAGACAGCACCGCCGAGCACAGATCGTCTCTGAGCGGGAGGGACCACCGCTCCGTGGACTGAACAGCGTACAGACACATGTGGTTTATGACTGGTCGTGTTTATTGGAGTGACAATGATCTGCTACAAGTTTAATACGTTTGTAGAAAACAAGAAAGAAACAGGCTACAACAACGCGTTTGACATGTTAAATAATAAATCATATAGGGGTTACAGTATAAAAACAAAGAAATCACTCCTGCACATAAAAATCATTCACCGTTCACAATTTGTTAAATTCCTGTTTATAAGGGACGCTGTTAAGTTAAGACACTTTTTGTTCAGTTCTTTAAACCAGGGATCATGGAAACATATACATTTTCCTTAAATGTATATCATATTTTCCTTTTATTGTAAACTTGTTTTTATCTTGTTTTAAATAAAACATGGCAGCAACTAATGGTTATTTTAAGAATCAATTAATTGGCTGATTATTTAATGATGCCTTCAAATGTCTGGTTTTGTGTGACTATCAGCCCCAAACCCAAAGATATTCAGGTTACAGGGATTTAACACAGAAAAACATCACAGTAAAGAAGCTGGAAGCAGTAAATGTTTTGTATTTTTGTTTGGAGAAATTACTTAATTGACAGTTGATTAGCAAAGTAGTTGTTGATTAATTTCCACTCATGTCAACAGTTAATTGTTTCACAAACATGACTTTCAACCACTTGATATGAGAAGTGGATCTAGGATTTAATCATGACGATGAGACAAATACAACAGCGCTGTAAACATTCATAGACAAGGCACATTTCTCTGGTTTTATACTGAAAATGCTTGTTAAATTATGTGATTCTGTTTGGTTGTTCAAGCACAGCTGAGATGTTAAGACCCAGCTTCAAAAGTTCATCAGGGCAAGAACAAAGCAGCTGGAGACAAAGTGGGGTCTAAATTTGGATACATATTGGATAATTTGGCCTTTTTGTTACATTAACACAAAGTACAAGCATTGACAGTGTATAGAGTAGAGTATGTTGTCTTCATGCCTTTATATGAGAAGTTTAACATAAATCAGACAATATAAGTCTGGGAGTGTGATGACATGCTGCACAGAAATCCTTTTTTTTTTAAAGTCATAACACCCACAACTTATGTAGTAATATGTACTCAAGTCAAAGAGTATAGTTAAGTTATACAAGTTATTTGCAAAAGCCTCCGTTTGCTATCAGAAAGGTTCAGAGAAGAGCCTGGACTCTGGACGTTTTCATACCCAGAAACAGGGTCAGAGTGAGAACTCACGTTTGTCCCCTCTCTGCCAGTGTTCTCCACACAGTCACATAAAGCACCAATAAAATGTATATCCCTTAAAACATGGTGTATTCATGACTATATGCAGACCTTCATTTTATTCATGGGCTGCAGTTCAACATCCCAACAACGGCAGAAAAGATTTGACCTGAGATTAGGAAAGATGACACATATCTGATGAGTCCATAAGGAGTTAAAGTGAAGTATTATATTACAACCAACTGGTTTCATTTGCATTTATGAAGGTAAACAAATGTCCTTGCACAAACCGGTGTCCTGTGGCATGTTACTAAGGTGAACATTAAAATGTAAACTGAAACCAGTTCACAAAATGCTGCTGCATAATCTGTAATCTTACAAACATCTATTGCATACCTTAAAAATAAATTAAAAACACTAATCCACTGTCTTCTGCATCCACATGGACACAACAGTGACAGTAGTGTTTGATTATTGGTTCGTTGTATTAAAGATCTCCATATAAATTGTTCTCCGATCATTTCAGTGCAAGCAGAGGACCAGGTCAGCTAAAACGCACTGCCTTCACACAATCAGCTTCTTCTACCAAGTAAATCTTTCCCGGTATAAAATGGCCGATGAACTGGAAATGCAGGAATTTACAGGCAATACTCCCTCCTGGTGGTAGCTTCACGAACTGGATTTATACGGTTGTAACATGCATTTTAAAAGAAAAAGGGTAGATGACATGTAACACACACACCACCTGAATTAAGACTGCGAGATTAGATAGATTTTCAAAACATTAAAAACTTTAATAAAAGCAGAATAAACATAGGGGTGAACTGAACACATGTATTTCAAACGGTTTTAATCTAAACAAAAGCTTGTAATGGGACGGGAAAGGTGGAAAAAACGTTAATTTACAACTGACAAACAGTCCGTGACATTTCTCCCCCCCCAAAAATACTTTGTCACGTGTGTTTTAAGATCAATAAACTCAAGCAATCGAGTCCCATGCTGCCCGACACTGCCACCAACTTTACTTAAAACCCTGAGTTCATGATGCAAAAATAACAGACACATCTGGCTGGTTTGCAAGACAAACAAACTCAATTGAGTCGAGAAGCAGTGACCGACATTGATTACGGCTTTACAAATGGTTCAAAGAAAGTCTTTCCCCAACATAACAAAAGTACAATTCAATAATTCACCATTCTTAGTAGTAAAGTACATAATGTGTGGAGTAAGAGGACAGATGGGGTCCGGGTGGGGGGGAGCCAGGATCCAGAGGACAGTCTCATTCATTCTTAGTGGGTGATGGGCACTGCTCCCTTGAACTGACCCCTCACCCCAACTGGGCTTGTGTTGTGTGTTTGTGTGTGTTTGTGTTTGTGTGTGTTTGTGTGTGTGTAAATTCAAGTTCGTTGTAATCCGAATTTTCCCCATGAACATCTCAAAACCTGTAGGGAGCGACTAATAGCCACCGCTGAATCCTCCACCCCTGCCGTAGCCGCCGCCGCCGCCGCCGCTCCTCCTCCTCTGTTGTAAGGAGCCCCGCTCCTGTAGGAATAGTTGCCCCCCTTCACTGCACCATAATTTGAGTGCTGCTCTCCGTAGCCGTCCCCAAAGTCACCATTACTGTACCCACCCCCCATCTGGCTGTCGTACTCGTCGTACCCCCCACCGTATCCCCCGTAGCCTCCTCCTCCTCCTCCGCCGCCGCCGCCGTTGTATCCCCCGCCATAGCCGTAGCCTCCTCCGTAATTGCCGCCGTAGCCTCCTCCGTAGCTGCCACCTCCTCTTCCGCCGCCATAGTTGTTCATCCCTCTTCCTCGACCTCTTCCTCCCCGGCCGCCGGTGGACATCTCCTGCTTGGTCATCGCTTTCTTCACCTCCACCTTGTTTCCGTTGATGGTGTGGTATTTGGTCAGCACCGCTTTAGTGGCGGAGTCGGTGTCCTCGAAGAAGACAAAGCCGAAGCCTCTCTTTCTGCCCGTCTGCTTGTCAGAGATGATCTCGGCCTTCTCCACCACGCCGAACTGGGAGAAGTACTCGGTCAGGTTGTCCGCCTCGATGTGGTCTTTCACACCGCCGACGAAGATTTTCTTCACATTGGAGAGGATTTCCGGGTTGTTGGCATCCTCCCGTGCTATGGCCCGCTTCAGCTCCACGTCGTGGCCTTCGACGACATGTGGGTTAGCCGCCATTGCTGCGTCGGCCTCCTCCGGCGTCGAGTAGGTGATAAAGCCGAAACAGCGGGACCGTCCGAGATGAGGGTTCATGACCACAACGCAGTCGTCGAGGGTGCCATACTGTTCGAAATACTTGCGGACGCCATCGGATGTGGTCTCCACGTTCAGTCCTCCAACGAAAAGCTTGGTCAGTTTAGTCGACATGATCGAATTTCTTGCGAGGACGGTTTGCTGAGACCGTCCTTCTTCTTCAATGAACAACGTCAGGGCGGGCCGTTTCACTCACTTGCTTTCGTACGACGTATTTAACGCTGATTGGTCGTCTTGAAAAAATCCTCACTCGGATTGGCTGCCGGGCGGTCACGTTGGTGCTGCCTTCAAGTGGTGTCGAAAATCTTAAATTCAATTTCTGAGGAGAAAGGGAAGCGTGGATTTCAACCTTTGTGATCGTTGGTTTTGTTCTAGTACAGTACAAAGCACATTAATAAAGCTATACCCCGATTTATTCACTTTAGCTCATGCTGTTGGTACTTCGGTACAACCGCCGACTACACCTACACACTATAAATCATATCTATTTAATTATAACAGCCTCCAGTCTTTCAATTATGTAAAGTCCTTGTGTTCTTTTAATACACCAGAAATCGGCATCTGTCTAGATTAGGACTCTGAACAGAACCACATGGCGCTTTAGACCCGGACTTAAGACGTATCTTTAAAGTAGCCCGTTAAACATTAACTCATTTAACATTCAGAAAACCAATCTGAATTTCTGATATATGGAGGTTGTGTGTCGCTTAAATATAAACATGTTAAATATGTTTTAAAAGAAGAAAGAAAAACATCTTGCCTAACAATTTTTACATTTCTTAAACATTTAACATCAATTCCTCTAGCTATTTATTTATGGTTTCAGACTGGGAGGGCAGATCACTCATCTTGAACCCATAGCAAAAATATAAAATGCATCACTAACACACTGAGCCAACAAATTATTAATAATAATAAATAATAAATTTCTATGAACAGTCGTGACCCAGTTTTTTTGTTCTTTCCACATTTTAACTGTTCGTACTGCTGTATGTGTTTGATGTGGCTGTGAACATAACCATCTCCTCAAATCTTGTGTTCAGTGTGAGTTGACAAGACTGATTAATGCTTGACATCTCAAATTTGTACTTCTGACTAATGAAATGCAGTTATTTTACTGTGTCAACTACATTTAAATTATATTGCTGTGAGAAGCCAAGTTAATCCTGTTTATAGAGCTGAATATCACAAAGTCTGCCACAAGAAGTTTCACAGTCTGTACAGCATACGACCTCCATCCTTAGACCTGTAGTTCAGATCAGGAAAACTCCCTCAAAAACCAGTTTAACAGGGAAAATAATGGAAGAGGGAAGAGGAGGATCCCTCTTTCAGGATAGAGGGGCAAAATGTTCACAGTAGCAAAAATATAGGAGGCACTACCATACTGAGCCAACTACAAATGAGTTATTTTGGATGAGCAGCAGTGACCCACTTAGGGGATTTTTACCTCTCTGTACAAAAATGGCACACATTTCAATGGTCTACGTTAGCTAAACTCAGTCTTTTTACAGTAAATGAAACTTATCACATGCACGCTCATGTTTTCAGCCAGTATCAGCTGTATTAGCTGCAGATGGACACTTCCCTATCAGCAGGGACACTCCAGTATCGGTTTTGGGAAACCATCCAATTGTTAAACTGGGTCATCAAGTTATTTGTTTTACACAGCACTTTAAAGTGTCTCATGAATATAAACAATGCAGGTTGTAGGTTTTTGGTAATGCTGTATGTAAACAACCTTTGTTTGTTTACATGAAACCTCCAAGCCTGTAAGCCTATGCCAGCACGAAGAATTTAAAGCCTTGAATTTGACACATCCAAGTACTCCAAAGACCTGAAAATGTAATCAGATCAGAATGATCTTCGTTCTCACCACCTCTGCAAACCGTACGTCTGAAATGATCAGTGTGACCATCAGTCCACAACCTTATATTTGACATCAGGTGACAGGTGTGACCTGGGGAAACATGCAACCAAACTATCCTCGATGTAAAGAAGTAACATAACAAGTCTCTTGGTGTATAAAAATATATATATTTATTGTATATTCATAAAAAGCACGACCAACATAACAGATGTTTCCTTTTCCTACGGGATGATCAGAAAGCACCATTATCCTATAAGGGTAAGAGAACAAAAGTCATATATACACACTCCCATCGCCATGTCTAGCATCACTTCAACACACACTTGTGTCACACTGGGTCTCCTCACTTGTCACAGTACATCAGACAGGGTTTAGTTATAGAAATGCCCAATTGCAGTGGCTATGTTCTTAAACTCAAAGGCACCACTGCTACATCTGGAAACACGTTGTTTATACTGTCAGATGTATTGTTTGCTCATCAATCAAGAGTTTGTTAATCTCTGATGGTTACTCCAGCTCATTAGACCACTTCAAGCCATGGCCCTTTATGTTTACCAATAAAACCCCACGCTGGCTTAATAAAACAGACCTCATTAACAATAATGTATTTTCTATTTAGGTATTGATTGGCATTTTTGAAAGCAGACTTGAAGACCTAAACCGTCAAATTGACAAAAAGGTCTGGTTCTTCATTTACACCTAGAGCCTGTTAAATGCAAATTTCAGGTGCATGTTCAGGACATGTATTCACGGTAGTCAGTTCATTTTGCAGCTCCCCCCCCCCCC